TAACTTCAAATAGTTTTTTCTATAAACACAAAACGAGTGTTTACTCAGCAGTGGGAGGCTGGACTAGATGCACACTATTACTTCTCTCCAATTCTAGTCCTCCATGAAAATGACGCTTGCTCTGCTGTCCCCTTCTTATTTTTGACATATGAAGCCTAACTCCATTCCCTTAGCCCCAAGTTGAAGAGGACTGAGCCATGGTAGACTTTTCACTTCAATTTCTAAAATGACACTGTCCTTCCTCTAACATCACACAAGAATCAAAACATATCACTCTTCTCTTCTGGAGTCTCCTTTATTCAGCTTATGTGAGACAAGAGGAAGATTCACCTTCCTCACTGTGATGACCAGGCAGGGAGTTGGCTCTAGAAAGAAATACGAGCTGAGGAAAAGCAAGCAGTTGAGAAGAGTCGGGCACAGAAGCAAGTCGCCTGTTTCTACTCTTTGACTAAAATGAAGATAGATAAGAAGCAGAGGACCATCAAGAATACAGATATTTCATCATTGTGATCTTTTGCTGGTTGAAAATCTTAAGCATTCTTTTTTTCTTTTTTTTTTTTTAACTTTTGCTTGTGAGTTGAGTGAAGGTTTACAGAACAGACAGATCAACAGTCCCACATTCAACAAATCATACACTTCATGCCATTTCAATGACTGCAACCCCTCCATAAAACTCTAGGTATTCTTAAGTAGTCAGACCAAGAGATTTTCTTCCGACCCAAGACTACTGTAACACATCTAGGCAGCAAGAATTCTTATTCCTGTAATAAATCAATGAGATTCCCTTAATTTGTAAAAATAAAGTCATATCTAAGATTTACATGACACGTTTTTTCCTAAGAGCTCTTCCGCCGCATAGATGGCAATCCCTAGGGTTAAGGGAAGCTGCATGAGGTGACAAGACAAAGAAATGGCCAAGATCAAGGATGGAAGTGCCCCCTGAAGGGGCAGCCTATTGCTTCACTCACATAGGAGAAGCCTCCCATCACCCTTCCTACAGGTAACCCTGTCAGAGCTTTTTCAAGTCTTGCAAGTTTTATGCCATTGACAGGGTACTGTCACTTTTCTGTCACTATTTACAGAAAATATTTGTGTTTTCCTTTTCTTGCCAGGTTTCTGCCTTACACGGGGCCTGGTGGTTCTGTAGACTCTATAGACAGACTGTCTGAAACCTGGTTGTAACTTTCCCTTGCACACATCCCCAGAAAACTGTTGCTTTATTAGCACTATCCAATAAATGTTTTCTGAATAGAGCAACTCAGCAATGCAATCATCTTTTGTCTGAGGGTGGGTCAAACATTTTTGGGAGTACTGTTCATGATTCTTCAAAGAATCAGTTCCTACACTGAGAGTTAAACTTTCTACAAATCACCATCATTCTCTCAGGAAAACAGAGCTCAACAGGGAGTGGGGCATGGCTGACCGGCAAGGCCAGCAGCTCTGCTTGCTTGTGTGGACCGCCTGCGAACACAGCCACAGCATCTTAGACCACCTAGGAACCAAGGTACGAAATGCTTTTGGAAACCAATATAGAAGGAGGGCAGTCCCAACAAACTGGAGACAAGTCATCACTCAAAATTCTAAGGGCCAAGATTTTATGAATGGGTAGCCCAGCAGCAGCCTAATGGCCAAAAATTGCTATGTCTATTTCAAAGTATTTCCCACTAAAATGAACTAATTACTATCACACTGGACTGGATCACATTGGTATCATCTGGATCATTTTGTCTTTGTAAGCTATCTTCTCATTTCGTCCTCACAGAATATTTCTAACTACAAAATGGCCAACACATCTTCCCGATGCTGCAATCTATCCCCACTGAACAAGAATTAATACGGCAGCAAATTCTTCTCAGGCCTCCTCTTACTACCTCCATACTCTCCCAGGGGTGTTTCAAAGGGGTTAGGCACCATTCTTACCCAGAAGTCTGGGATCACACCCATTTCTACCCATTTCTGGCCACATCAGAAGCAAATACATGATCTGAACCATCTCTTACTTCAAAAAGAACTCATCCTTCACCTTCAGTACTCCAGGTAACCTAAATCTGCTGTCATGGACATCTCCCAACTGGTCACTATATCACTGCCCCAAAATAACTTGTTTAGAGCAGCTGTTCTAGGAGAGCGTAAAGATGCAATTTTTACGTTTTTAATCTGTATTATTTCAAACAAGAATGGATTACTTACATAAACAGCACAGAATCATTAGAACAATTAATACAGTAACTTGAAGTAAACATCATATCAAAAAGCAATCATTAAAAGTCACTCTTATTAGAATATGTCACTAATAAAGAATGTTTGCCTTGAGCATTTGTGCTCTTTCAAGATCTATCTATATAGAATCAACTGACACCTGCAACTTGAAATTCAATTAGATAAGGCCTTTACTTTGAATAGAGAGTGATTACAGAAACTTTCTTATTTGAATTAATAAAAAACAAAATATAACTGAAAATCATGATTGTAATCATCTATTCCAAACCAACAGAGACGATGAACACGCATCAACAGTTAAAATCCAGCTATTCTCAACTTGGGATCTCATTACTTTCCCAGCCCATATCACATTCAGATAACTCTAAAGATTACATCTTTTAGACTGTGTCACTATCTTCCTCCGTATGCCTTCCACAGTTTAGCCCTTACTGTCCTTCAGATCATCATCCACAGGATCCTTAAGCAATTATTTGTCAACAATGACCTTATAAACCCTCTCCCACTCTGTCCTGCCCAGTCTCGTCTGCTATGTAAACAGTTCCATTTCGTTCAAGCATTCCCTGTCACAAGGCTTTAAACTCCCTTTGGCCCTACTCTAATGCCTGGACAACCCTTTCAAAGTGTGCCCCAGAACCAAGCACAATGCCCACGTTGTTCCTGTGATGGTGGGACTCTCTGCCCTGGCTCACGGAGGGCACTTCACTATGGTAAATGCTGCTCACAGCTGCAGACACACCATCACTGACTGCTGACATGTTCTGCACAGTCCACTGAGTGCCCTGCCACTCCCAGCAGGTTGCTGCTACACACAGCTTCTCCATTTCCTCTCAGACTTTATGTATGCAAAACGTGGCATTTTCTGCTGTGAAGCTTCCATTTGGTTTAATGTGGTTATCTTGTTCCACTTTAATTCTGACCCCGGCTCAGGTGTGCCATTTCACATTTCCCTTATGACACTGAATGATTTGACAAAGTGTCCTCCAGAGAAAAAGAGTATATATTTTGTACTTAGCTAAGTACCAGATACATACACGTAACATAGCTGTTAAATGCTGTCAAGTTGGTTCTGGCCCACAGCAACCCTGTGTAGAGTTTCCAAAGAGCAACTGAAGCAACCTGAAGTGAACATCTTACCAAAAAGCATGAACCACCTACCTTGTGGTTCAAACCAACTGTGCAAGCAAGCATACTGACCCACAGTGTCCCCCTGGACTGTGGCATAGTGACAGAAGCACAATATTTGCCACATGGATGAATGAGTCCACATACCCTTATTCATTCCTCAAAGTTCTATAGGCCTGATCACCTCCACTTTATTGATGAGATCTAAGGGCTTAGATGATTCATGATCCTAACTGTTCTGATTCCAAATTTACCTCCCCACTCTGACACTGGCAAAAGTACAGTGTCGGAGTTGGGAGAAAAGAGCCTTTTAAGTTCTCCAAATAGTACTCATCCCATAGTTGACAATTTGGGTGAAGATAATTCAACTAAAACTAAATTACCCACCCACAGTCTTCTTCAGGCTACATTTACATTTAATGGCTTTTCATTCATGTAAACACAACTGATTATTCCCAATGCCCGGCTAATAAATGAGGAATTTAAATCATTATCATTATTATGTTAAAATGAGTACTACATGAAAACAGTGAGGCAGAGTTGATTATTACAACTGATTTTTAAAAACCTATCTGTAAATCAGTCAATGAATGATATTTACGTATTTCACATGTTTATGAAAACGTTTATCTGTGTCAGCTATGGTCAAGGCTCTGGAGAACATTTTGGTACTTGTAGGAACCTAGAACTTACACAGTCATTTTCATAACTCTCAATGACATTAATGAATTGGGATTTTTTTCTTTTCAGGTATTAGAATCTACTGAAGATTTGGTAAGGCAGCTAGTTATGAGTCAGGCTGCTAATCTCAAGGTCAGCAGTTTGAAACTACTAGCAATTCCATGGGAGAAATTTGAGGCTTTCTACTCCCATAAAGATTTACAGCCTTGGAAACCCCTTACACCGTGACTAGGAGTCAGAACCGACTCCACCACACATAACCACCACCACCTTTTAAGCAGTCCGAAAGTCCACCTTAACATTATAAATTCTTTAACATAAACTGATGAATTTATCACAATCCTAAATCCTGTTACCTTAATGCAAAGGACCCTTCTGACTATGATTTTATTTCAACTAAAGTTCTTATCTTAAAACAAGAAAAAGCATTATGCACCCAAAAGACTCCATTAATAAGTGTAACACACATACTTTTCACTTTGCTCTCACACATACTAACATTTTTTTATAACCAACAAAAATTGATTACTTGCATAAAAAGCTCAAAATCATTAGCACAGTTAATAGTAACAACCTGAAGTGAGCACCTTACTAAAAAGCACTCACTAAAAGGCACTATTACTAGAATTCTAAGTCACATTTGGAAATCAGCAGTGGTGGAGGCTAGCTGCTACACAGGAAAAGAAGTTACTAGACTGGCTGCTAATTTAAAAATTTCAGTTCACAAATGGCTTTAGTAAAATTTTACCTTTCAGAAAACACATAGACCTAAAACATTAAGTCAAGTAAATCTTAATGGTTTCAATTCAGCATCAGCCCCTGGTTTAATGCACTAGAATCCTCAAATTACCATGCTACAACCCCATCTACTGGAGATGAGGCAGTATTTAATAAATCAATCCTTGGGTGCAAGTCTGTTGCGAACTTAAAAGTTAGAAGCCCAAATAAATATATTTCAAAATAGAAAACCTTACCTACATCTTTTCGTCCTGGTTTTTCAAAGCGTCTGTCACCCCTAGAAAAGATAAAATAAGTTTCAAACAAAACCTGAAAGTCACACAAAGATTCCCCATCCATGCTCCCACTTTCCTTAACAACATTTCTTCCTTCTTCAAAGGATAAAACAAGTATATGGCTAGTGCCCAACATCTGGAAAAACACAGAAAAGCCTGAAAGCTGAAAATAAAAATATCCAGTATCTCACCTACCAAAGGTGAACTTATACTATTAATTTTTTATATTTATCGTTTTTTAAATATTGAAAATAAACCAGACTGCTGTTTTTAAATAAGACACATGCTGCACAGTTTTATACACCGCTTCTAGACAGTTTCCGAATCATCCACAGTCTGAGGGTGCTCCACAGGATGTCAGGACTCCTGCACTGTGAGAAAACCCAGCTCCCAGTCTGGGGCCACGTGTTAAGGTGGCTCAAAGAAACCGATACACCTGTTGACCTACAATAACTTCTTTCTTTAAGGAAGGACAGTTGTTCATTGCTCACATACAATGGGTAGCTGTGCATTAGCAGCTGCTCCTCTGAGGAAGCAGAAAGCAATCTGCTTTACAAACTAAGAAAGTTTCCATCACGCTCTGGGTCCTACTCACCTTTCCTCCCAGCTCTGAGACCTGTGCATTTCCCTGCCACCTCCTCGACCAAACACACCCTCCACTTCGTCAAAACTTCTTTGGTAGAAACCACATTCACCTCTGCCTCTGCCTGAAACCAGAGAAGAGAATAGGCACTTGGCACACAGTTCATATGAAAGACAACCTTTTACGTTCTGTCTCCATAGAAGGAGCTGTCTGTAATTACATATTTAGTGAATGCCATTGAGTCAATGTGGTTAGGAATCGGGCTGCGAACCTCAGGGTCAGCAGATCTGCAGGAGAAAGAGGCGGCTTTCTGCTCCCATAAAGATTTACAGCCTCGGAAACTGTGTACAGGGTCACTATGAGTCGGAACAGACTCCACAGCACATAACAACAACAACATCGAGTCAATGTCGACTCATATTAACTACTGCCAAGTTGGTTGCAACCCACAGTGATCCTGTATAGGGTTTTCAAGGAGCAGCTGGTGGGTTTGAACCTCAGACTTTGCAGTTAAGTCCAGTGCTTATCCTACAGCAGCACATCAGGACCTCAGGTATTCTATCAATTAATGAGAATTAACGGAATACTTCTCATTTCATTGGGCAGAATTTTCTTCTGAGGTGTCAATTACCTACAAAACTTTGACAGGAATCCTGGTGTGGCACTACAAGATAAGCACAGGGTCAGAAATTCAACCCATTAGCCGCTCCTGGGAAATGTCACTAAGACTGCTAACTTGACAGTAACTTTACAACAAGAAATTATCATTTTGAATAATTTGTTTATTTTGATATTACAAAATGTCACTGTTTACAGATTTTTTTTTTACCTTAAAGTCTATTCTGATTATTAATTAATATGACTACACTAGTATTCGTTTGATTAAGTCTTTGCACGGTAAAACTTGTATTCATTATTTTACTTTCTAACTTTCTGTGTTCTTATATTTATTAAGCTTTTTAAAAGCAGTATACAGTTGGGTTTCTTGTTCCTTACGGTTGTTTTTGCTTTCTACTTAGTTGATCTCTTGATGGTATCACGTAAGTCCACTTACGTTTGACATCACTACTAATATTGTTGGTTGTAAGTATGCCATTTACATTTTGCACCATGTATGCTTTCCCCACCTCTCCTTTCTTGCTTTTTTTGGGGGGTAAAATCATTTTTCATTATTAAAACTTTGCTTTTATTTTATTATTTTGATAACGGAATTATTTTGACTTCTTATTCTTAAATGGTTATTGCATTTAGACTTATTGCAAACTGATTTAAGCTATTCTTTTACAACATACAAGGACATTGTTGTTGCTGTTAGACGGCCTCAAGTCGGTTCTGACTCACAGCAACCCTATGCACAACAGAAAGAAACACTGCCTGGTCCTGTGCCAGCCTCACAATTGTTAACACTTAAGTCCATTGTCATCCATAGCCCAGACGGCCCTATATAGGGTTTCAGAAACCATCAATCTTTGTAAAAGCAGACAGCCTCATTTCTCTCCTGCAGAGCAGCTGGTGGGTTTGACCTGCCAGCTTTGTGGCTAGCAGCCCAACGCTTAGCCTACTGCGCCACCAGGGTTCCTTAGCTAGACTACAGAAAGCTGGAAAAGCAAGTTAAGAAGTTGGTCTAAGAGCTCAGTCCTGTCCTGAACAAGGAAGGGTGCACTAAGAAGCTCTGTAAAAAAAAAAACAACAACAAAAACTCAAGATTTAAATTCATAAAAAGTTCAGTGAATCACTATTGTAAATTAAAATTTTGGACTAGATGTTTTTTGTTTTTTAAGGGGAAAAAAATCTTGATTTGAAAAGTTTGCGAAGAAAGACTTAAAAGTACAAAAGCTCAAATCTTCCTGATTTACCTAATCTCTGAGAAAAGACAATTTAGTCAACTCTAAACTATCAACTTTGCAAACCACCTGCTGAAAAGATATTCCACGGCAAACAAAGGAAGTCTTTCCCCTCCACTCAGATTCTCAGGGAGAAAAGTATCAACTGAATTCGAATCACAGAGCTGATCCAAGAATGGGCGCACCTTTGTACTCAGCAACTCTACTGGTTCAAGTTTAAACTGGCCTTTATTCACATCTGTGTGTCTGTAATTGTAATGTGCTGTGGAGTCGGTTCCGACTCATAGCAACCCCTATACAGGGTTTCCGAGGCTGTAAATCTTTAGGGGAGCAGAACGCCTCATCTTTCTTCCACGGGTCAGCTGGTAGATTCGAACTGCTGACCTTGTGGTTCACAGCCCGATTCGTAACCAGTACGCTACCAGAGGTCCTTATCTGTGTCCTAGGGCTATCAATATGTGACTTAATCATTTTACCTAGAAGTTAATGTATGAAGCACACAGATATCTGTGTGCTAAATGAACTCTGGTGTGGCACTGTAGCATCAAGCACTGGACTGCTAAATGAAAGGCTGGAAGTTCAAACCCAGCAGCTATTCCTTGGAAACCCTACACAGAGTCACTATGAGTCAGAACTGACTCAACAGCACTTAACTACAACATGTAAATATAGCCACAAAGGTGTTTATTACCATCAAACAAAACGAAACAAAATGAAACCTGAAAACTTCAATGCCCATCAATAAAGGACTGGCTAAACTGTGCTTAATGGAGTCCTGGTGTGGCACTGTAGGATAAGCACTGGACTGCTAACCACAAAGTTAGCAGCTCAAACTCATTACCTACTTACTCTTCCAAAACCATATACAGGGTCACTATGAGTCAGACCCAACTGGACAGGCACTTAACAACAAACTGTGCTCCAATTAGGGTTAAAGATCAAATACTACGAGAAATCGTCCAAAAGATAATTGCTCAGGACGTTTAATATACAGTGTCTATAGCAAGTTTTTAAAACTCAAGCACTACAATATCTAGGAAGGGGATTTCCCTCTCCTCCTCCCATCATTTCTGGTCGAATTAGCAGCTCACCTCGCCCTCTTGATGAACTTCGACCTCTTGGAGCCCCCACCACCGTGCCTCCTCCTCCTCCTCGTCCTGTCAACCGCAGGACCGCGGCACTGTTTACAGACATGGAAAAGTTTCTCTGCCAAGAAAAGAAAGACAGAATGAATAAACCATGTGCCTCCCTCCCTCCAGACCGCACTACATAGATGAAATGGCATTTAGTCACTACCAGCCACGTGCCACACCACCTGATCCCCACTGACAACCTCAAATGAGCATTTCAGACCCACAAACCCTGACAACCAGTACCTTGCACTATGTTAGTTTCTGTGAGGAACTATGAAATGAAATAAGCAAACAAAGGCTATCCCGAAACAGACAGATACGCACCAGGATAAACAAAGAAGACGTTGAGAAAGAGATGAGATTTGAAAGGGCCCTTTAAGTCAGACTGAGCACACATGTGTCCGATGGAGTCACAAAGAGCTCTGTTGCAGCAGTAGCCTGACACAACACAGTCTATCAGGTGGTGCCAAAACCACACACACAGCAAAATGACCATTTCTGTCTCACTCACCAACATGAATAACCAACTCAATATAAGATTTATAGGAGGGCTGAGAGGCTTGAAAAGAATTAAAACCCCAATGACTCGGAGAGGAACAAACAAGATGGCGGATCGGGTGGATGTATAGCAGAGAACAACACAGAATACCTGACCAAGCAGGCTCAGGGGATGGTCCCAGAACTCTGAACCACATATAAAGGAATACTTAGAAGCTTGGAAGGTTTACAGCTGGGGGAATTTGTGGCAGAAGCAAGAAATCTATTGCTTTTTAGTCTGGGATGCTCGGCTGCTTCACGAGCCGCCACCTTGGGTGAGACCACGCCGGGGGAAGGATCAGAGCGGCCACAGACACCTGGCAGAACCGCTGAGATAAAGGTGTGGACATTCTTTTCTTCTGGTAGCTGTTCATTGGTCCCTTGCTATCTGTGCACCTCCATTCTGGTGACTATAGGGGTGCCTGAGCTAGTGGGCAACCAGCCGCACCCTCCAAGGATTCGGTTACACATGCGTACAGATCTCCGTGAAATTTAAAGAGAGAGTTTCCAATTAAAACCAAACAGCCACAGCTGGCCCTGAACTGTTTCCAACTAGAAAAAAAGGCCTGAACGGAGATTGTGGAGTGGGACAAGCAGACAAAAGAGGAAATAAGCCGAAAATAAAATCCTAAATTACGTCAAAACGACCAACAGTGAGTGGTATCTTGAAATTTCTCAGGAAGAAGAGTGAAAAGGGAAACCCATTTCTGATCACATCTACCTGGAGGCATTCAGAAAGCATAAAAAATACCAAAATACACACCCATCTAAGTATTAAGTCCACAGATAACCCCTGAAGATGCCCAAAAACCAGAAGCAGATGACCATATCTGCACATGTCCAGAAACTAGATAAAGTGACTGAGGCAAATGAGCTGGAAGTAGACCTACACTCCATACTAGAA